CTATGTCCTCTATGAGTCAGATCCCAGGGTTGGGGACCATGTACTGTCACTTGGTATTCCTGTGGCTGCCACAGGCCATGCTTGGGCACATGCTCAGTGTACACCTGTGACGTTGCTGCGGTGCCCGTCCTGTCCCCAGATCTCGTGGGCAGCTCCCGTGGAGAAGAAGACCGAGTGTGTCCAGAAAGGGAAGAACAACCAGGTGGGTGCTTGGGACAGACCAAGGAGCTGGGGGCAGGAGCCTTTGTCTCTCCTTGGCTGGGCCTCATGGCCCACGCTCTGCCTAGGGCTCCCTTTTCATTCCTGGTCTGGGTCCTGAACTCCGTCCAGTGTCCCCCATTCTCGGGCCCTCCTCTTTTAACTGGACCCCCCATTCTCGGCCCTCCTCTTCTAACTGGAACCCCCATTCTCAGGTCCTTCTCTTTTAACTAGACCCCCCATTCTCGGGCCCTCTTTTAACTGGAACCCCCATTCTTGGCCCTCCTTTAACTGGAACCCCCATTCTCAGGCCCTCTTTTAATTGGACCCCCCATTCTCAGGCCCTCTTCTAACTGGAACCCCCATTCTCTTTTAACTGGATCCACTTTTCTCCCCAGACGGAGTGTTTCAACTTCATCCGCTTCCTGCAGCCGTACAACGCGTCCCACCTGTATGTGTGTGGCACCTACGCCTTCCAGCCCAAGTGTGCCTACATCGTGAGTGCTGCCCCTCCCTCTGCCCTGCGTGTGCTGCTCTGAACGCCGGGCCTTCTGCACCTCACTCTCTGTCTCTTCCCTGCCTCAGGACATGGTCACCTTCACCTTGGAGCGTGGAGCCTTTGAGGATGGGAAGGGGAAGTGTCCCTACGACCCGGCTAAGGGCCACACTGGCCTCCTTGTGGGTGAGTTCCCACCTGCAGTAGGCTGGGTGTCCCCCAGGGCTCATTCCCACCGGGGCTGTGTGGCCTGCGTGTCCGCTCACCTGGTCTGGCTGATCCTGTCTCCATAGATGGCGAGCTGTACTCGGCCACACTCAACAACTTCCTGGGCACAGAGCCCATCATCCTGCGTAACATGGGGCCCCACCATGCCATGAAGACAGAGTACCTGGCCTTCTGGCTCAACGGTGAGCGCCTAGGAGCTGGAGCTGGTGTGGGCACTGCGGGAGCTCTGGGGGGGAGGCATCACTAGGGCCTCGCTAAGTCTCCTCCCCTTCCCGTAGAACCTCATTTTGTCGGCTCTGCCTACGTCCCGGAGAGCGTGGGGAGCCTGACGGGGGACGATGACAAGGTCTACTTCTTCTTCAGCGAGCGGGCCTTGGAGTACAACTGCTACATGGAGCAGGTGGTGGCCCGTGTGGCCCGGGTCTGCAAGGTACAGTCTGTGGCGGTGAGTGCTGGGAGCCCTGCCAGCCGGGCCGGGCTGACTGCCAGTGTCTCCTTGCCATCTGCCAGGGAGACGTGGGGGGCGCACGGACCCTGCAGAAGAAGTGGACCACCTTCCTGAAGGCACACCTGGTGTGCTCGGCCCCCAGTCGCCACCTCTACCTCAGCCACCTACAGGCGCTGCACACCCTGCAGGGCACCTCCTGGCATAATACCACCTTCTTTGCGGTTTTTCGGGCACGATGGTGAGCTGGCCAGGAGTCACTGGGGTGGGGAGAAGCAGGTCTTCGGGTTAGGGATGGTTTGTGGTGCAGGCCTCTGGGCGAGGCCGGCTGGCCAGTTATCTGGAAGCCAAGGAGGATGTTGGGTATCTGCTCCCAGTGGGACGTGGGTACCAAGCCTGACCCCCGGGGTCCCTCCCTTGCTGTGACAGGGGTGATGTGGACCTGTCAGCAGTCTGTGAGTACCAGTTGGAAGAGATTCAGAGGGTGTTCGAGGGTCCCTACAAGGAGTACCACGAGCAATCCCAGAAGTGGGGCCGCTACACCGACCCAGTACCCAGCCCCCGGCCGGGCTCGGTGAGTTGCCCCCGAGGGTGCACTGCTGCCCTCAGCCCCTGTGCTAATCCCATTGACTGACCGCCCTCCCCGGCCCCAATCTCCAGTGCATCAACAACTGGCACCGTCACCACGGCTACACCAGTTCTCTGGAGCTGCCCGACAACACCCTCAACTTCATCAAGAAACACCCCCTATTGGAGGAGCAGGTGAGGCCCCTCTGGGGCCGGCCCCTGCTCGTAAAGAAGGACACCAACTTCACCCACCTGGTGGCTGACCGGGTCACGGGGCTTGATGGAGCCTCCTATACAGTGCTGTTCATTGCCACAGGTAGGCACGTGGCATGCGGGCCTAGCTGCTAGAGGCTGGCTGAAGGCCTGTGTGCCCGGATAGGGCGAGGATAGGGTGATCTGGGGCTGCCCCAGCCCGTGGGCTCTCTCGTTGACACCTGTCCTCCCCAACCCCCTCACAGGAGACGGCTGGCTACTTAAGGCTGTCAGCCTGGGGCCCTGGGTCCACCTGATCGAGGAGCTGCAGGTGTTTGACCAGGAGCCTGTGAAAAGCCTGGTCCTGTCCCGGAGCAAGGTAATCATCAGGCCCCGCCCACAGCTCTTCCTCCACCTCCCCCATTCTGTGCTTGGCCCTTTTAGGGCAGGGGAGGCGCTCCAGCACCCTCGCTCAGCTCGGGGCGAGCTCCAGGTCAGTCCCAGTGGATCCTGCTCCCCAGAGGCCGTGTACATGGCCAGGTCCCAGTGAGGCTGCGTTGCCCCCCAGTCCTGACCCCATACCTTGCCCCCTCCCCTGAGGTGCACTCAGCACCTTTCCCTTTTCTAGCCTGTTGCCGCACCTAAAGTTTCACATGCTCCCCTTTTACCAACTGTTGGGGCTCAAATTGTTCCCCGGAACATGGAATGATGGTAGAAAGAAAGTCTTGGTGAAGAAACACAGATTAGCAGTCACCATGCAGACAGGAAAACACCTTATGCTCGGCTGGTACGATTGGGAGGGCTGCCGGGCCTTGCGGAAAACATATTTCCTGCACTATTTATACCGCACTGGAGCCGTGTGTGTGTGTGTGTGTGTGTGTGTGTGTGTGTGTGTGTGTGTGTGAATGTGTGATTATACACAGCACCACGGGGCTACTGTTCCTCTCCAGTAAGGTCACCCTTATAAGGTGCTTAGGATGGGGTCTGGCTTGTAATAAGCCCTCCCTGTGTTCTTTGGTCCTTCGATTTCCATCTTCGGTTCTCCCTTCTCTTGGCCCCTTTTGCCTTGTGCTGCCCGCAGCAGTCCCAGCTGTGCCCATGCCGTGTCCGGGCCTGGTGGGCCCTCTCCTATACCCATTGCTTCTCTTGCAGAAGCTGCTGTTTGCAGGTTCCCGCTCACAGTTGGTTCAGCTACCCCTGGCCGACTGCGTGAAGTATCGATCCTGTGCCGACTGCATCCTCGCTCGGGACCCCTACTGCGCCTGGAGCGTCAACGCCAGCCGCTGTGTGGCCGTGGGCGGCCGCTCTGGGTAAGTGGGACTCTCCTCCTATGGGGACCAGGAGGGGAGGCAGGTGGTGGGAGCAGGGATGCTGATGGACCCTCTTCCCCAACCAGATCCCTGCTGATCCAGCAAGTGACAGTCTCAGACACCTCGGGCATCTGCAACTTCCGTGGCAGTAAGAAAGGTGAGCCGCCCGTTCTGTCCCCCTCCCAGCGGGATGGGCCCTGGGCCAGAGCTGGAGTGTCTGCACTTCCCTTTGGCCCTGGGTTTCCTGCACTGACTCTGCTCCCTCTCCTCTCCCGGCCGCTGCAGTCAGGCTCACGCCCAAGAACATCACGGTGGTGGCGGGCACAGACCTGGTGCTGCCCTGCCGCCTGTCTTCCAACCTGGCCCATGCCCGATGGACCTTTGGGGGCCGGGACCTCCCTGTGGAACAGCCTGGATCCTTCCTCTATGATGCTCGGCTCCAGGCCCTGGTCGTGATGGCCGCCCAGCCCCGCCACGCCGGGGCCTACCACTGCTTTTCGGAGGAGCAGGGGGCACGGCTGGCTGCCGAAGGCTACCTGGTTGCTGTGGTGGCCGGCTCCTCACTGACCCTGGAGGCCCGGGCCCCCCTGGAAAACCTGGGGCTGGTATGGCTGGCTGTGGTGGCCCTGGGGGCCGTGTGCCTGGTGCTGCTGCTGCTCGTCTTGTCACTGCGCCGTCGGTTGCGTGAGGAGCTGGAGAAAGGTGCCAAGGCGGCAGAGAGGACCCTGGTGTACCCTCTGGAGCTTCCCAAGGAGCCCACCAGCCCCCCCTTCCGCCCTGGCCCCGAGACTGATGAGAAGCTCTGGGACCCCGTTGGCTACTACTATTCAGATGGCTCCCTCAAGATTGTGCCTGGACACGCCCGGTGCCAGCCGGGGACTGGGCCCCCTTCCCCGCCTCCTGGCATCCCTGGCCAGCCCCTGCCATCCCCAACCCGGCTTCACCTGGGGGGTGGGCGGAACTCAAATGCCAATGGTTATGTGCGCTTACAGCTAGGTGGGGAGGACCACAGCGAGGGGCTTGGGCACCCCTTGCCCGAGCTGGCGGACGAGATGAGGCGCAAACTGCACCAGCGCCAGCCCCTCCCGGACTCCAATCCCGAGGAGTCCTCGGTATGAGGGACCCCACGTCGGTGGGGCAGCCTGGGGGCCGTGGCTCCTACTTTTGCACAGGCACCAGCTACCTCAGGGACATGGCGTGGGCACCTGCTCTACTGGGACGGATCCTGCCCAGCACCTGCTCGCCCATGAGGACCTGCTCTGCTCAGCACGGGCACTGCCACTTGGTGTGGCTCACCAAGGCACCAGCCGCCACATGGCGTCTTCCTCCTCTCTGTGAGGGGCTGTGAATCACAGACACGGGACCCCAGCAGCCAAACCTTCAGGACAGAAGTTGGAGATATGGGTGTGTTTGTGTATGTGTGTGTGTGCACGTGGGTGTGTTTGTGTGACGTCTTCTGTTTCTGTGGAGTCTTCCCTTGGCCTGGGGTCCTCCTGGTGAGTCATTGGAGCTATGAAGGGGAAGGGGTCGAACACTTTGCTTCTCTTACCCCCACTGTCCCCAGGAGGGGCAGGGATGTACATATGGGGGTGGGCTGGGCAGGGTGCTGTGCCCCTGGGGGAGTGCAGGGCTCTGGGGTGGGCCTCGTCCTGCTTCCAGGGTGGTGAATGTTTTCAGGGTTCGGGGGAGGGAGTGGAACCTCCTGTGTGTTTGGAGGAAGGGAGGGAGGGCCTCCCAGTGGCCCTGGGGTTTCTGGTATTTTGTACTTGTCCCCCTGACAGGGCTGGGAGAGGTGTGGGGCGGGGGAGAGGGTGGGCATGCTGCGGCTATGGCATATCCTCTCTCCCAGACCTGGAGGAGGGCTCCTAACAGTGTAACTTATTGTGTCCCCGCGTATTTATTTGTTGTAAATATTTGAGTATTTTTATATTGACAAATAAAATGGAGAAAATGAAGCTGACTGGAATGAGACTTTTTTAAAAATATATATTTTATTGATTTTACAGAGAGGAAGGGAGAGGGATAGAGTTAGAAACATCGATCAGCTGCCTCCTGCACACCCCCTACTGGGGATGTGCCCGCAACCAAGGTACATGCCCTTGATTGGGACCCTTCAGTCCGCAGGCCGAGGCTCCATCCACTGAGCAACACCGGTTAGGACTGGAATGAGACATTTTGAGGCTAAACCCTGAGTGCCAAGAGGGAAGGGTCCCTGTGGGACTCGGGCTGGACCATCCCACTCCCCATGGCCCTGGGCCGCCTGCCTGAGCCCTCCAGAGGGGCGACCGGACTCCAGGGTTTCTCCACCACCCTCCCCCTAGGGGTGGCCGTGGGGCTGGGGCCCAGGCCTCCGGGAGCCGGCCTTGGCTTCTGGCCCGAGGGAGAAGCAGGGAACTGGGAGTCACAGCGGAGAGGAACTGACTTCCCAGAAGCGGGAAGGGCAGGGGGGCAGGCGGGGGGGCCGCTCCCTGGACGCACTGGAGGCGGGCTGGCTGAGGCTGGGCTGCCCGGGAGGAGGTGGTCCCGCCTCCGCTCTCCAGGCTGCAGCAGCTTCGGGCACTGGAGGCCTGGGTGCCGCGTCCTGCACGCGCGGGGCTGCTGTGGCCACAACGGGCTGCAGCGCCGGGCCTTGGCTGCGGGACACCTGCTGGGACCTGCGACGACGTTCTGAGGTCTGAAGGCTGAGTCCGCAAACTGGGCGCCACTGGGACGGGGTTCCGCCCAACCCGAGCTCCGTCCCTGCCCGCGGGGGTTACAGCGGCTCCTGCCTCCCACGGGT